GCTCAAAATCGTTCGCAAAGGCACCGGTTCATTTATTCTTTGTGTTCTCTCAAATCCTAATCTTCTGGATTCTTTCAACACCTCTAGTTTTGACTTTCTAAACTTTTTTCACTGGATCATACTTCATGAATAATATCTTCTAATCCTAACCTCTCCGATTACTTCTAATACCTTTACTACCTCTTCTACTATTGGATTTGAATCGACAATTATATCTCTGTGTTGATGTGGTATGGCGACATGAACTGATGTACTTACGTACGAAGTTCTACGTTGCATCTGACTGACTGACTGACGTTTACTATCTCTATCTTTATCGGATTTGGTTTTACATTTGCGTCTCTGTGCTGATGTGGCATGGCAACATGAACTGATATATTTACGTACGAAGTTCTACGTTGTAAGTGACTTCGGGAGACCAGGAATAACTTTTCATGTTCCCGAATCGTTTGCCTTTGTGGTCCGGGTTGATAAATGAATTTGAATACAGTTAGTCGTGGAGATACTGGAGACGTTAGTGGGTTTAGGGAGGATTTGATTGTGACCAATTCTGTCTCGTCTGCTGTCGTTTAACTTAGTAGCAATAGACAAACTCATTTTATTCAATTCGGCAATAATACTGTACAATTGTAACAAAGAAAATTATCCGCCATATTGTTTTACTGTTTGTTCGTCAGACTTCAGATACTTTTATTAGTAGTAATCGTTAGAAATCTATTTTTATCTATCTCGAGCTTATATTTTATTGCACTCATTAAAAAATGTATCTTTGTTTGTAGGAGACGAACGCTTTGTGGAACAATCGATTACCTAGCTCCAGAAATGGTTGCTGGGGTTTCGCATGATGAACGTGTCGACCATTGGACTGTTGGAATTTTATGCTATGAGATGCTTTGTGGCAAACCGCCTTTTGAACATCCTAACACACAAGACACTTATGCCTGTATCAAAACTGTTAAATATACATTCCCTCCTGTTATAACTCCGATGGCACAAGACATGATATCTAAGGTAATTTTCTAACATTTTCTGCTTTTAGTCACTTCAGAAGATGCTTATATAAGAGATATACCACGCATTATTTTTATAAGAACTCTAATGAGCATCACTAATAACTACAAATTTACCAGTAAGCAAATTCTTGACTCCTACTATAATTGGGACCTAAGAAGTTGTAGTTTGGTTTTGACTGAAACAAAACGAACCAACAAGGTCAAAACTAATTAAACTGCAAAGAAATGATCTTAAACTATCTGGCTAGTTAATTCCAAGGATTACTGTTCATGGAAATTAAGTCCTTAAAATAATAAAATTCAGTACATAACAAAGCAATTGTTCTCCTCTTATCCATTGTTATTGATACTTTGGTAGAATCACATTTTATTCATATGTTCAGGTAAATAACTGGACTTCAACTGATTTTATTTTTCGCCTTGGAAAGTAGTCTTTTCGGAAAGTACTCTTGGCACCTTTCGTTATATTTACGGAACATACGTATCCGATCACATAAGAATCATTTCCAGATAGCCTTTAAATAGAACTATAGAATTATATCCAGGATCAAGTATGTAAATAATATTGGAGAAACAATGTGTAAACTTCTCAAGCTGTTTTTGCTCTGCAGTCTTGTGTAGCGTGTTCTATAAAAATATCTCAAAACTAGTGTTTCCCCTAATAAATAAAAGGTAAATGTTGAAAATTAAAATGTAGCCGAATGTCTTTCAATACATTTGGATTTATTCCCTGGTCGTGGCTTAAACATTACGTGAAGTCAGTTTATTAAGATCTAAGGAGTCTTCCTATAGAAAGTATTTGGCCTAATGTACGATCTCACTTCAAAAGCTGTTGTAATTTATTGAATAGTGTTTTGGCGATACCCATCGGGACTTTTGAAAGTTAGTGCTAAATGGTTTCTGTTGCTTGTTTAAACAACAGTAGTAAAGCGTCTCAAAATTTCACCTCTCGCTCTTTGGCTGTGATAACTATCCATTAGCAACGATTTAAGTTGGCCACTAAACTTAAGTTGTATATAGTACTATTAACTTAATACAATTTTCTGTTAGACGGTATTTTAAAATAGTAAACAGTTTTGATTTAATAAACAGTGTCACTGATATTCTTCGAGTGAATTTCATAATGACATTTCAACTTCTTTTTGATTACCACCGATAGTAAGTAAGTACAACAACATTATCAGTAGTTGATGGTGTGATGATTGCCAGCATTAGACAGTTAGATGATCAGAAAAATGGAATCGAAAGCTTCCTGTATTTTATTCACTTCGTTGGAATAAACAATAGTAACAAGTGATTGGTTAATATTTTTAAAGAAAATAGGTTTTTCATATAATAGACAACAAAAAACGTTCTTCCTCTTTCATGTAATGTTTTTGATGTGTTCAATTCAATGTTATGTTCTTAAACCAAGTGTTTTACATGATATATAAAAGTATGAAAAATACTCCACACTACCTGAACCATTTGTAATTTTGATAACCATCTACTAGAACTTAATCACTACTTATTATGGATGTTTTGAATTCAGACGATTCTGTTTATCTTTCAAGTAAAAATCAGATATTGAAGTTTATTTGACAGTTAGTTGCTGCTACCTTCTGAATGGGATTTAATAGTCTTATTACCATAAAAGTTTGGTCTCATGGGTGAGTAACAATGACTACTATCCAGTGAGTTTCTTGATTTAGGTTTTTATTACTGTTTGAAGTTTTTTTAATGTAAAACCGTAATAAAAATTGTTATTACTTACTTACACCTGTTACCCTTATTGGAGCATAAGCCGCTGACCAGCATTAGCCAACCTACTCTGTCCTGGGCCTTCTTTTCCAGTTCTACCCAATTGCTGTTCATTATTTTCATGTGTGCTTCCAACTCTCTATGTATTGTATTCTTTGGTCTTCCTCTTTTCTTTTGGCCTTCAGGATTCCAAATGAGGACTTATCTTGTTACGCAGTTCGATGCTTTCCGCAATGTGTTTCCTATCCATCTCCAGCACGTTCTCCTAATTTGTTCCTTAGTTGGAATATGGTCTGTTCACTCCCACAGTAGGTTGCTGCTGATGGTGTCTAATCAACAGACCCTCAATATCTTGCGTAGACAACTGTTAATAAACACCTGTATCTTGTGGATGATGGCTTTCGTGGTTTTCCACGTTTCCGTACAACAGAACTGTCTTGACGTTTGTAATAAAAATTCTGACTTCGGTATTGGTTGATAGTTATTGTTTTGGTATATATTCGTTAAAATGTTATTTATATGAATATGTCATATATGTTATATATGGATGTACAATTTAAGTTCGTTTCCTTTTCACCATCTAAATCAGTGACATATTTATTTGTAATATCTCCATAGATCCTTCAACGTTATCCAATGGATCGGTTGTCCCTAGAAGGAATCATTTCTCATCCATGGATCCAAAACTTCGCAAATAAAGCTTCTTTCCACTCTATCGTTAAGCCCAGACCAAAATCCTGATGTTTTTGTCGAATCATTTATTCGATTTTTTTATGTATCTCAAAATATGATGATTTATTTTCATATTTCCATTATCTGTCCTCCTAACAAACATTTACTTTTGTGTCTGGTTGGTAATATATATTAGCACCAATTATAGCTTCGTGTACTATTAAGTTATGAGCTTTGCTCAATCTCTAATCAGTGACAATAGTGCTACATGAATTTACCCTGACCGTAGCTGCTACCTTGATGTGTTGGTCGAGCTTCCCTATTTTGATGACCCATCCGAGCTATATTGGCCGGAACAGATGTTCCTTTAGGTCCTACCATGCCAAGCAGATCGATTGGAGAACGGTAAGACTGAAAGAAGCAATTCAAGTTTTGAAGGCGAAGTCGTACTTCTAACTGTAAACAGGTGTGACATTAGTTATGTGTCTCTCTCGAACTCTAGCATCTGCAGCGATGCTGACTCCTCACGACGGAAGGAAGGGGTTATAAGAGGTCGACAACAAGAGTGTCACACCTCACGAATTCCCATCTCCGGCGGTAAGTCCATTTGAAAGGCGTAGCGCACATGATAAAAACTTCGCATTAGAAAAGCATGCGTGACCGGACTCAAGCAGTTTTCCCTTTAGGTCTGTAGTTACATTCGCAGGTCACTAGGACAAACGTCATTACAACTTCTTCATCAGGTTCCCAAAGAAACACTAGCTTTGTGGGCAGCTGCAAGGTGACTTCGGCCCTCATACCCATAACAGCACACGACCAACCCTTTGTCACTTTACGCCGCCGATGCAAACGATTTGAGTACACGAGATGTTATTTGTGGTCTCCTGAAACCCTGCTCTAAATTATATGTTGGGGCTTTTATTGTTCAAACCTTTCGCCAAACAGGACAACAGACTTCCTCAGCTAGGACTTTCGAATCTCGTGCCAGCGATGTGTGCTTCGTGTCCGAAACATGCATACAAGATCCGAGTACAGTGATTAAATTGAATCAACCTTGTTCATATAAAGAACCGACTCGGTTTACGGTCCAAGTACCTGGATGTCCTACTGCTGCTTTTAGTGGTCTAGCTAATGTACGTAGAGGATTAATTTCTAAAGCAGAACTAGCTCTGTTAGACTGTATCCCACCAGACAGTCATTAATGCGCTGTCCGACTAAACGGGCCAGAAGGGACATGGAAATATAGGTAGAATCGCCGTTACAACTTCGTCGTCTCTGCCTACGTTTGCAGTGACTGCAGCTGAGACGAGGTAAAGGATGAGTTGTAAAGAAAGGTTTTAGACCTCCTCCAAAATATTGGTATTGGTAATAATAGTGGCTGGTGACTCTAATGCTCAAGTAGGTAGACTAGGCCTAACTGAAAGACACCTGGGTGGATTTTATGCTTTTGCGGCTGGTCAAACAGACAATAGCGACCCTATGCTCAGACAGCCTCCTATTTCTAGCAAATACTACTTTTAGGCATAAGGAAAAACACCTTATAACGTGGCGACTCCTAAAATCGACCTAATGTTCGACCCAGTCGGTTAAAACGTGGAAACTCATACATGTATACACAAGTTCAAGTTGCTGTACCCTAATGACAGCATTGTTTACTCGGTTGTCCCAGGATATACGAGCAATGCTTCGGAGACACAAATGATCGGATACTAGTAGCTTGCGAATATCTTCTACTGTTACCGGCTGTGTTTCACAGCCGTATAGAAGAACGTAGAACTCGGTATTTACACACAAGCTCAAGTTGCCATACCACATTCGTGCAGACAGATCGAATTGTTAATTCAAATCCAATGATAGTAGAAGTATTAGCAGTAATGGAGAAGTTTATGGTTCAAAGGTGTGATTCTAGAGGTATATCCCCAGTGAAGTAAACATAAAATGCGAAAAACCGGTCATGGAGAATTCAGATTAGAATTTGAGAGGTGACAAGTAACAGATGCATCTGCGCCACTGAGAGCGATTTAGAGCAATGTCATTCATAGTCCCTAACCATCGGTGATCATTGACGTCTTCTGGTTTGGCAACCCCTAGCGTTCTTCCAGACTAACCCTACATCAGACAACACCGCCCGACAAGGTAGTCGGTGGTTGCACATTCGTAACACAAGTCCCGCACATCTAGATAAAGGAAAATTCATCAGTTCATCCATAGATCTGACATCCTAATATGGTAGCAATTTCTAAACTCAATGATATACGAGCAACGATTCAAAGACACTGGACTAATACGGATAACCTCTGTTCCTAACTGCCATGTTTAACACCCATATAGTAGGACAGAGCAAACTCCAGCGCAGTACACTCGTCCTTTAGTCAGCAAACGGATATCAAGCCCACGCTATAAATGACGTATATTGGCAAAAGCCAGTCGAGCCCCTTGAATGCCTGATGACATTTCGTCAGTCACCAGGCCATCAGCACTGATGATACTCCCAAGAAAAGTGAAACGGTCTACGCGCTCGATTACTACACTCCCTATCACTAGTTCAGGTGTCGATGCAAGCCCATCCTGAAACAACATTTTGCATTTTGACTGGGAGAATCGCATCACGATCATGCTTGCATTGTTGCTTAGGGTAGTCAGAAGACTTTGCATTTTGTCAGCGTTCTCACTAAGTAGAACTATGTCATATGTCTTATTCTAAGTCAACAAGCGATTTCCCTGGTAGAAGGTCCACTCCTGAAAAGTCAGACAAAGATAATGTTGTGTCTACAAGCAGGTTTATGACAAAATTAAACAAGAATGGAGAAAGTGAACATGCCTGACGGACACCACTTGAAGTAACTAATTCCGAAGACAGTTAGCCATAAGCTCTAACTTGAACAGTGAAACGAGTCTTCTTTATCTTGTCATGGAGAGGTGAAGTGAATGACGTTTCTCAAATCCTGTATGCACGTTTCAGAAACGCAGCATATATCGATGGCATGAGATCATAAAGTCCTATCTAAGGAAGCCTGTCCCTACTTGAAAATGTCTGTACGTTAAAAGCCCCAACATGTAATCTAGAACGGTATTTCAGGAGACCAGGAATAACGTTTCGGGTACTCGAATCGCACGCATTGGCTGTCCGGGGTGATAAATGAATGTGAGTAGAGGTATTCGTGGAGATAAGAGAGACGTTAGGGGCTGTAGGATGGATATGAATGTGACCAATTTGCTCTTGCGTGCTGATACGGGTATGAGGGTGGATGTCACCTCCCGGCTGCTCACACCGTGGAAAGGTGTTTCTTAAAGAACCTGGGAAGGAATGTAGATTATTATTGGTCATCAGGACACGGGAGCGTTACCACAGAACTCAAGGGACAACTGCTTGAGGACCATCACGCATGGCCTTTTTGTGGGTAGTATTTTAAGTGTTAGCTCCGTTCTTGTTTAAAAGCACTTACCGCCGGAGACGGAATTCCCTGAGGTAAGGTGAGGTTTGACAATTTTTAAACCGCTTCTTTCATTGTGAGAAGGCAGCATCGCTGCAGATGCTAGTTTTCCGAGGGAAAAACCTCAATGCTGTCACACCCCTCCACAGTCAGCTGTACGACCTCGCACTCAGACCTTGAGTAGCTATTTTTAGTCTGATTGTTTTTCAACGAGCCTGCCTGTCATAGTAGGACCTAAGAAACATATGTTCTAGCCAATAAAGCTCGTTTGGGCCATCACAACAAGCAAGCCCGACCACCACGTCAAGATAGCAGCTACGGCTAGGAATGACCGACCCAACTAGACCACATTGTTATCAGCCACCGATTGGGAAGCTCGATAGAATACTGTTGCTAGTTTACGAGCACTTGTTTAGATTCAGATCATGCTCACGTACCTGCGCGTACTTGTCTGCATCTTACTGGACGTAAGAAATGAACAGTAAGTAAACCCCTTGAAGTTCTGCACAACGATAGTAAATTCAAGAGTTTATCTGAGGAACAACTAGAAAAAGAGTTAGGCAGCCATTTAGAAAGTGATCCTCACCCTGAGGAAGCTTGGAATTATATCCAACATGCTGCGGGTACGGCAGTGTTATCTGCCAGTAAGGCAAACTGAAGGTTTATGAACAATCAGTGGATTTCACTAGCATCTACTTTACTGATAGATGGTCGGAAACATGTCCTGTCTGGCTCTTAAAACGTGGAGGGGTGGAGTCAGCCTAGGCGCATTTTGGCAAAGAGCCTACTCAATGACCGCGAACGGTGATGGGTAGCGAAAGTGAGAGCGATGGAAAAGGCAGCGGCAATAGGTAACACTAGGCAGTTGTTCCGACTTATCAAGGAGACGTATTAGAAATCAGACTACTAGTGATATTATCTTGGATAAAGATGATACGATTATTCGCTCTCGATCCAGGAGATTGGGCTGATGGGTAGAACACTTTAGGGATCAGTTCAACTGGCCTTCAGCCACACTTGGGTCGCTCACGATCTCCAGTCATCCTGAATGGAAAATCGATGTAAGTCCCACAAATCTTAATGTATTTGAGAAATCTACAGTTAATCTGACTCGAGTAAAAGTAACATAGACTGACAGGTTTACCTCTTAGATATTTAAGGATAGTGGTCCAGTTTTAGCAGTTAGATTGTCTGTGATCTTAGGTAGAATCTGGGAACTGGACGTAATCCCATCTGACTGGTCTCAATCACTGATTGTCCCAGTCTGCAGCAAAGGACAGAAATCCTCTTGTTAATTTCCCAGAGGAGTCAGGCTAAATATTATAGTATCTAAATTATTAGCCTCAGTAGTACTCCAACGCTTAACGAAAGCCCGTGAAGAGCAGACCAGAGTAGACCAGACTGTTTTCGACCTGGACGTGGACGTATAGGCCAGATATTCACACTACGTCAAGTCCTACGAGAAATACACACTTTCAGAAGTCCGATAATAGTAGTATTTCTCGATCTTAAGGCGGCGTTTGATTCTGTTGATCTTGAGGTCCTTGTTACGCCTGCACGTAAACACGTCAACTTGATATACCTGAAGAATTACGAGTTCACCTAGTCGGAAAACGAGAGCGAGGGCCGAGGATCCTGTGACACGACATGCTATTCAAATCCGATTATCCCAACCATCATATTTGGCAGAAATAAGAAGACAAGACTTGATATGAAGTAGAACCTGTATTCTACAAGCATCCAGA